TGAAGCACTTACGAAGAAGACTGTGGTCATACCAAGCATGACTCAACACCAATGACTCAGCAACTATTTCACCTGTGAATGAAAAACAAATTCATTGGTTTATTGATTTTTCTTTGAGTCTCACACGATGGTGAAGTGAAAATCTTTGTGACTCTTACCAACATCATTTCATGGAAACATTAAAATCTAAAACTATGTCATTGTTTTCATTCTTCATTATTCAAACTGATAAAACTTTATTGAAAGAAAAGAACAATAATGATCAGCTGATCAGAGTCAGGGAACCTTCAAACCATCACTTCTGATTTCATTAAATCTTGTGTTCGGGTCGACCAGTCGATCAGAATCCATCACATCTCGTCGCTCTCTGATTCCGTGCGACCGTGTTTTCCGTCGAGCTTCGTGTTCCACACGTGAAGAACTCGCAGAACTCAGGTCAGCTGGCTTTTATGTGCAGGGACGATTTACAGCCGCAGCTCGGACACTTTTACAGCTCGTGAGGAAGTGAACTTCAGGAAGTGGAAGGTCTCATCAGGTCGTCTCTGCACAAACTGCTGCTGCTCAGAGCTGCTAACGTTATTATTCACTGATTCATCGTTTTCTAGAGAATGTGAATCTTCTCTCTTCGTCTCATTCGACTGGAGCTGAACAGGTTCAGGTTTTTAAGTGTTGCTCATGTGAGGTTTGAGGGAACTGTGGCGACAATCAGCTGATTAGACTTCAGATGAGGAGCAGTGATGAGAGGAGACATCTGGAGTCTGACCACAAGCAGCTGATCCAGATCGGACCTGATTCTCTCCTGACTGATCAGAACCATCAGATGTGAGAGGAAAATCCAGATCTGGGTCTTTTCCAACACATTTCCTCTGTTTCTTTTCCTGGAAACCTCCCTCCTCTCTGTCGGTGACACTTCACACGTTCGCTGCTGTGAGTGTGATCGGCCATGACAGACTCACGTCAATAACTTTTATCCGCAGCAGCACGCGGCCGACGCTAATGGGTCTAATTTGGAGAGGGGCTGTTGGCCGGGTGGTCGGGGTAGAGGGAGGTGAATGATGGATCTGGATTCCTGCTCCTGTACTAAAGCAAACAATGAATGTCCTGAAAAGCCTGCTCTTATTTTTAGGGTCTGACTGTGTTTTACGTAATGGGTCACGGTAATAAGAATAGCTCCATCAATCACAGGGGCAGCGCCGTCCAAACGCTCTGGGAACGCTGGGATCAGAAAAACAGCTCGTTGTGCCAGAGGGACGCGACCGGCCAAGACCACGTTTTTACATCCAGAGATTCCAGAGAAGAGAAGCACGTTAACTGAAACGCTGATCAGCCTCCAGAGCAGCAGACTGAAGACCCTCCTTCAGCAGACCGGGCTCACAGGAAGTTCACTAACACTCTGGAGTCAGAAGGTATTTCAAATATATTTTCTAACTTCTGGTTTACCATGGTTCCACCTGGTCTGTGGACCACGTGACCGTGTGGGACAAATCTGGCCCACAATAATAAAAGTGTTTTACCAGCCTGTGGTGGAGCGAGGTACTGCAACGTGACGTGAAACAAAGTCACTAATAAAGCTCCTCCCAGGGCGCACGT